AAGTATAGATGCAGTCATCACTTAAAAGAGACGGAGAACTATTTTCAGCAAGAATTGCGACCATGATGCAGAACTGACAGTGTTCTGTGGGCAGGGGGCAGGGGGTGATTTCAGTGAACTTCATCATTGCTCTAAGTGTGCTAGCAAGTGCTGGGAAGACTTGGCCTATGGAATCCTACAGAGGCCATTTCACATTTCACTATTACCACAGTATCAGTCAACTGCGGGATGCTGACGAGTGGCATTCCAGCTCATTCCCGGGCATGTTCCAGTGGTTGAGCATCATCCCGCTTAAAATTTGGGAGGCAGGAGGTGGCAGTGAGCTCATCCATCAGCATCATCTGTCGCCATCTCTGAGCTGCCAGCATGACAGCTGGGCAAGCACAGAATCAAGTTGACTGGCAGAATGTTTTACATCTAATGAGTTTGTGCAAAATAATAATATAATAAATAAGGCTCTAGAGGAACTCGGTTATCACTTGCATTCCAAAAGTGAGATATGGCCTTACCAGAAGCGCACAGAGCCATCTGTCATCAAATATTAGTCTTGGTGTCAATGGCCTAACCATCCTGAGGAAATGGAAAAATATCAGCATAGGGGGCACCTGACAAAACCTTGTCGTTCAAGAAGCGTTAAATGGAGCATGTGAAGGAGCCAGAGATTCCCAGATGACTGTGAAATAAATATATAACACCGCTACCCAAAGCAGTTAGACTTGAAATCTTGGCTGCTGAATGCTAACGCATCTTTCCGTGGCATAAGTGCAGTTTATGTCACCCAGGCTAAGTTCTTGAGTAATCTAATCCTTATCTGCTTGGATTTGGGGCTGGAATTATTGCAATCTTCTTTAATGTGTTTTTTCCAGTTTGATAAATCAAAATCTGATCGTCACCAAAGCACTCTGCCCGTGACAGCCCTGCCAGTGACAGGAATATGAAAGTGGATGAAAGCTCGAGAATTGGATAAAAAGCTGTGAGGATTTAGAGTTGTTTGGTTTCCCCCCTCCGCTCTCCCCCGCTCCTGGCACAACTCCATATCTAAAACTGCTTTCAGGATACACTGAATTCTGGTAAAATCCTGAGTATTTTCCTAGCTGCCCTTTGTCCTGGCCAGGCTGTCCTATGTGGAGCAGGGAACAGTCAGTGTCCTCTGCGGGGCAGCCTGACATAGTGTGCAGGACTGGAGATCATTGGGGACTAAAGTGGGGAGGCCCTGTGGGTCTGCGCATCAGTCTTCCCTGAGTCCCTGGGACCTGAGTACTGGCCGACAGTGTCACAGTGAAGCTCCATGAACTTACTCTTTCTCCAGATGCCAGGGAGCCCAGCTTTGCCCTCAGTCCCTGACTAGAGACAGCTCACCCTTCCAACCTGGAGTCCCACAGCAGCCCATTGTGTTGACTTGGAGCTAGTGTCTCCAGCATGTCTTCCTTCAGCTCTTCACATTTATCTTACACACACATACCAGTTCTGGGATCCTCTGGACATCTTTAGTTGTCATTCTGATTTGTTTTTGGGGCCACACCCAGTGATGCTCAGGGCTTATTCCTGGCTCTGGACTCAGGAATTATTCCTTGTGGTGCTTGGGGACCATGTGGGATGCTGGGGGTCTGACCCAGGTTGGCCCTGTGGAAGGCCAGCGCCTTACCTGCTGTACTCTCTGGCCTCTCAGCTGTCATGCAGGAATGATAGTCACCCACTGTGTAGCTGATCCATAAGCTGCCCCTTCAGGCAGGCCCCTGTGCTGACCTCTAGAGGCCATGGTAGGCCCTCTGGTCAGTCTGGAAGATGTTCCCACTGCTTTCCCATCCCTTCCATCGAAGAGCTCCTGATCCCTTGGAAGGCCATGACACAGCAGCTCTGCTGCCCAGGCAAGGTTTGCTTACCTGGAAGTTATCCACAATGCTCCTGTCAGACTCTTGATGGGAGGCAAGACCACAGGCAGTACTAACTCTCTCACAGCTGAGCCAGCTACTGTCAGGACTGAGGTATCCCATCTTCCCCCCAAAGCCACAGTGAGGGCCAAAAGAACCACTTTGGATTGGTTTTCCTTATTCCTCATCAGGAGGGGTTGATGCCAGCATTGGCACTGAGCCCTAACTTCCCAGGTGAGCTGACATGGGCTCTGCCACTTGATTAAAGGTGTGGCTGATGCCCTTTCCAGGTTTCTAGTCCCAATCCCTGAGCAGAACCAGGTGTGGTGCTGGTCCCCCACAAAATAAACCCCCAAATAAAGCCATAACTACAAATGTAGTCATATTTTAATTTTAAATTTTCTAATAGCCACATTAGAAATTTAACAAGAAATGAATGGATTTAATTTTTGAAATAAAAATGAGATAGATTTCTGAGTTTTATTTATTTTTGCTTTTTGGGTCACACCCAGCGATGCTCAGGGATCATTCCTGGCTCTGCACTCAGGAATTACTCCTGGCGGTGCTTGGGGGACCATATGGGATGCCGGGGATCGAACCCAGGTCTGCTGCGTGCACGGCAAACGCCCTACCTGCTATGCTATCGCTCCGGCCCGAGTTTTATTTTTATTTATTTATTTTTTTATTAGTGAAACACCATGAGGTACAGTTGTAGACTTACAAGTTGTTGTGTTTGGGTTTCAGTTATGCAATGATCGAGTACCCATCCCACCACCGGTGCCCATTCTCCACCCCCACCAATCCCAGTATCCCTCCCACCCCCTCATCCCCTATCCCACCCTGCCTCTGTGTCAGGACACTCCCTTTTGTTCTATCTCTCCTTTTGGGTGCTGTGGTCTGCAGAAGAGACATTGGGTGGCAATCATGTTCGGTCCATAGATTACTTTCAGCAGGCATCTCCCATCCTGGGCAGATCTTCCCAGCAGCCTTTATTTGGTGCTCCCTTTTCTATCTGAGCTGACTTTACCCCTGGAGTGTGCGGTTGGCCTCTAAGCCATGGAGTGAACAACCTGGTATTTATCACAGCTGTTCTCGGGTGTTAGTCTCTTATTTTGTTACTTTATATTACCCAGATGAATGCCATCTTTCTATGTCTGTCCCTCTCTTTCTGACTCATTTCACTTAGCATGATATTTTTCATGTCGTACCACTTGTATGTAAATTTCATGACTTCATTTTTTCTAACTGCTATATAGTACTCCATTTTGTAGATGTACCAAAGTTTCTTTAACCAGTCATCCCTGAGTTTTATTTTTAATTTATTTCATTTTAAATGTACTATCTCGCCCGCACGGCAAAGCCTGGGAAGCTACCCGTGACGTATTTGATATGCCAAACACAGTAACAACAAGTCTCACAATGGAGACGATACTGGGCCCCCTCAGGCAAATCGATGAACAATGGGAGGTCAGTGCTACAGTGCAGTGAAGTATTTAAAAACACCTTTTAAAAACACTGTGGTTTATCAAGTTGTTCATAATACAGTTGTAATGAGCATTCCATGTTCCAACATCACATCTACCAGCAGTGACCTTCCCATGTACCCATTTCCCCCGCCCCTCTCCACACACCTGCCCCCTTAGCAGGCGCAAAATAATTTATTTTATATTGCTTATTATAACTAAATGGCTAAGGTAATTATCAAAAAAATACTACAGTAAAAGAAAAGTTGTGAATTGTTCTATGTCAGAATGGGGTCATTAAGTCCTGTATGAAGGTTTGTTAAGCTGCTTGTTGTTAGTTGAGCCTTCTGTGTTATTATTTTTGTTAATTGGGCCTCGTTGACTTCAACGTTACTTTCCCATTGAATTTGGTGTCCTCCTACTAGGATGTCAGTATTCTGAAATTTGGAAGTATCACGACGCTGATATGTGGCCACTCGCTCTAGAAACTCTGGGATCTATAGGACTTTAGAACTGCCAGGAGTAACCCCTGAGCACTGCCAGGCATTGCCCAACCCCCCCAAATAAAACAAAAATAAAGTCTTCCCAACTAGAAATGGGTAGTTCTCGTGTTTAAAATTCTTTTCTGAGTGGAGGAGTGGTTCGGGCCATACCTTGCAGTGCTCAGGAGTGCTTGTGGGGTCCTATGCAATGCTGGGGATCTAACGGGGTCGGCTGCATGCAAGACAAATGCTTCTCCCACCTCCACCCTGCACTCCTTCCTGACTGAAATTTTGTAATCCTAGGGGAAAGCGGGTGTTAGAGAACATGCCTCTCACCTGCGAAGCCCCGATTTCATTCCCTGGCACTGGAGAGCTCCATGGCCATGGCAGGCTGTGGCCCCAGGCTCCTGATACCAGTGGGTAAGGCCCCCAACTGTAATGATAGTGACAAAAATACATAATATTTCGTTGTTTTAATAATTTCATAATTTAAAATACTTTTTACCTTTTTTTTTTTTTGCTGAAAATGGTAGCTGAATTCAAATAAATAAATAACCAAATGGGTTTGCCTGAAGAAATTGTTCTTACATTCACCAACTTTGCTGGACTCTCACTTGTTGGAACAACTTGCTTTTAGTCTCCTGATTTTCTTTGTAGAAACATTGTCTGTGAGTGAGAAACACCATGTCTTCCACTCTCTTCTACAATTTTCACCTTCCCTGCCCCTCCTCCCCCAGCACACTCAGCCCACCAGTGTCGCTGCACCCATGCCCTGTGGAGTCTCCTTCATCTCCAGTCCATATTGCTGTTTTTTGCTCCTTTCTGTGTCAATACAATTTTCTTAATTATTGCAGTTATTGTGAGCACTCTAATTTGCTTTTATTTTTCAAGACTGTTTTGGCTGTCCTGAATCCTCTGAATTTACATATAAATTTTAGAATCAGCTTGTGAACTTCAACGAGAAAGAAACTTGAATTTTGATGGGCACTACATTAATCATTTTGCATTTAATAACACTTAAAATTATCATGCTAGTTCATATTTAGCACTGTAGCCCTGTCCTCCCGTTGGAAATCTCAGTTGAATAATAATGTGGTTCAGATTTCCCCATTAAAAAAAATAAGAAAAGTTAAAAAGACACGTTTGTTTTGGATATCACATATGCACAGAGGCTATAAGTTTGTTTAAAGACTTTTAATTCCAATGATGTTACATCTGATTAGTCATAAAAATCATCAAAATCATCAGATGTGTTATGGTTCCTCGGACGTAAAGCTGCTTCAATCTCTGAGTTACTGTCATCAGACTCGCCCCAGAAGGCTGGAAGAGAAAACCAGATGATTAGTTAGCATCATTTTATTCTGATTAGTTCAGTACAATCAGTGGAACCAGTTGGCTGGAGCACCAGCCTGTTGAACAGTCTGCCAGAGACAGCAGGTGGTGGGTGCTGAACGGCCCTTGCAGTGCAGGCGCTTCTGCGCGGACCTGGATCCCGCGTGTGCCCGGCGCTGCTGGGACAGTCCTGCTTGGAGGTTCCCTTGTGGCTCTGCTCTCTCTGACCCCGCTACCCCGCTACAGGACGGGATGTGGGGCAGGACGAAGGCAGTGGTGAGGGGGTTGGAGGGAGGCTTCCTCGGCCTGTCTGCGCTGCTCCTGACAGAGAGCAGAGGGGACGAGTGAGGCTGGCACGAGTGAAGGCCACTGGGGACGGGGGGGAGGTTGGGGGTGGGAGGGTGGCACAGGCAGGAGAGGAAGCCAGCAGAGGCGGTCTAACGAGGGGGCAGCAGCAGACAGCGCAGCTTTTCTCACCGGCCCCGTAAGGCGGAGGAAGGAGGCCTTTACCCTGTGACTCTATGTCCGGTCTATGTTAGTCTTTTTTCTTTTTTTCTTTTTGGGTCTCATCCGGCAATGCGCAGGGGTTACTCCTGGCTTCGCACTCAGGAATCACTCCTGGTGGTGCTGGGGGGACCCTATGGGATGCTGGGAATCGAATCCGGGTCGGCCGCGTGCAAGGCGCTGTGCTATTGCTCCAGCCCCTATGTTAGTCTGAACTCCCATCTAGGTCGCTGACGGCTACTCTCAGGCAGGACATCCTCGTCTCATGTGACAGGCTGCCACTGAGCTAGCCTGTGTCCGTGGGGGGGGGGGGGGGGTGTACGCTGAGGGTCTCCAGCACGCCTAGGAGACTGACCATCTTCATGATTGTCCATCGCTACATGGTGCAGTCTGCCGGCTCTGGGATGACTTTGGCATGGTTCCATTCAATTCTTGCACTAACCTAGTAAAGCCAAGTATTTGGGTGGCCGGGGGAGGGATCTCCCTTACCTGGAGAAGTTGGGCCATATATGGCCATGCTCAGGGACTGCCCCTGGAACTGTAGTCAGCAGTGGCCCCTGGAGTTTGCTTAAGCCACCAAATACAGTACTGGGAATCAAACCAGAGTTGGCATGCAACTGGTTTGAGACTGAGAGAGGTGATTTAACCAGCCAGCACCTGCGGATCAGTGGGGGGTCAGCCAGGACTCCCTCAGGCTGGCTCAAACCCATACCCTCGACTGCAACCCACTGAGAATGAGGTGGAAGGCGGCAGGAGGGAAGGGGCCTCAGCTCAGAAGGGCTGAGCCACACGGGAGCATGAAGGAGAGTGAGACCCTCCCTGTGTGCAGGCACTGGAGGGTCTCCAGACCTGCCGGGCAGAGGGAAGGAAAGGGCCGTGCAGAGGAGCAGCCTCGGCACAGGCGCAGAGGCCTAGGTGTGGGGGGTCTGGAATAAGCTGTTTGGGATTAGTCCGGGAAAAGGGAGGGTAGTGACAGTAGCGATTTCTTTACCTTTTTATTATCAGCCTTTGAAATTAATTTTATTATTATTATTTTGTTTTTGGTCCCTGCCTAGCTATGATCAGGGCTTACTCCTGGCTCTGTGCTCAGGGGTCACTCCTGGCAGGGCTTGGGGGCACAAAGTGTGGTGTTGGGGACTGAACCTGGGTTGGCCACATGCAAGGGAGCTTGTCTTACCAGCTCTACTCTACAGAAACATCCGACATGTAAGGTTAGATAATGAAGTTTTTAGATGCTGGAAGTCATGTGGGAGATGATCAGGAGCAAGACAAAGGTTGGATGTGAGAAAGTCAGTTTGAATCCCATGCCAACCCCTACCGTGTCAGGGGACATGGCGAGCAGGAATTTCAGGAGCAGACAGCAGCGCTGCCGGTGGACGTGGGCCTTCAACCCTGCAAACTCCTACCTGCACATTCAACTCTGTGCTGGCCACTGGGGGCTGGGGCGTGTGGCCTGAAGAAGGGGGCCACACCCCCTTTGGTGCTCTCAGAGGCCAGAGCCCAGGACATGGAAGGGCAGCCATAAGTACAGCTGAGCCTCACAGCCTCCCGGGGTAGCCAAGATAGAAACATGCCACTACAGTCTTTCAGTTAAATTCTTTCGGTTAAATCACAAAATGAACAGGAGTGGGGAGAGGACATAGCAGGGAGGCCTTAGCCATGTGCATGTAGCTCGCTGCCTTCCAACCCCCCCGCCCCCACCCCTGCACAGAGTTCCCTGAGCACCATCTTCAGTCCCCAAACCAAAAAGAAATATGCAAGTAATTAAAATGCAAAATGAAAATGTCATTACCAGTCTCTCTTACCTTTAGACTTGAAATTGGTAGGCAGTTTCTTGTTTTCATGCCTGTAAACAAGGAAACTGTGTAAAGTCCTTCTAAATAGTAATCTAGTAAATTAGTAACTTACAGTAAGCATATTTAGGGAAGATTTTTCAGATTATTCACAGAAGGCCGGATAATTTACACTGGTTCCCTGAATGTGAAGAGAAAATGTCAGGCCTGCTCTGGCCTCTCCCGCTTTGGGGAAGGGTCCCCACTGTGGCAAGACAGCCCAGTCCCACTCGGCCCTGCCCGCCTGGCTGGCAGCAGGCAAGCAAGCGGTAAGTGAAATACCTAAAACAGATCAGAGACATCAGGACGTGGGCTGGGAGCAACAGCACAGCAGGCAGGTGCTTGCCCTGAACCTAGCTGACCCACATTTCACCATATACGGTCCCCCAAGACCACAGCACCGGGCACTGCTGGGTGTACCCCCAAAGTTAGAATGTAAAAAGAAGGCAAGGAAGTCAACAGACCACAGTCAAATCACTTCAAACAAGGAGTTCAAAACAAAGCCCGGTTATAACTATCAGCACATCTGGAGAAAGGTCAAGGGAATGTTGCTCAGGTTTTGCATGCCAGAGGCCCCAGGTTTGATCCTGGCCCCACATGGCCCCGGCAAGCATGCCAGAAGTGACCCCCAAGCCCTGAGTGAGGGCTAGCCTTGGCGCACTGCCAAGTATGGCCTCTAAACCACCCTACTAAGAAGAAATACTGTCTTTAGTCATAAATGCTACAATTTACGTTTCTTTCCACTAATGCATCACTTTCTAGACTATCTGTTGATGGTCCTTTTCAAGCTTTTTTTTTTTTTTCAAATCTTCCATGGCTACTAGAGGCTCACGGCTATTTCCCCATAAGCAACAGATGGCTTCACACCCATCCAAAGAGCCAGCCAGGAAGGTGGGCATGGACAGTGTGTGCCTCAGGGATACATCTGGCACAGGCCGTGCACGTACTTGAGAGCAAGTGCACAGACCCAGACACCTGTGGCTTCTGTTCATCATGTAGCCCACCTTCCCTTTCCCAGGGCAGTGCATTAGGAAAAAATGTCTCTGAGATTCTGGTGTTTTGGGGGGACCCGCCATCCCCCAGTGGTACTCAGGGGCTACTTCTCCTGGCTCTGTGCTCAAGAGTCACTTCTGGTGGTGCTGAGGTGACCATTTGAGATGTTGGGGATCAAACCAGGATTGCCCACATGCAAAACAAGTCTCTTGACCATGGACCACTCCTCTAGCCCCTATGTTATACTTTTTTCATTTTGTTCTTGGGACCACATTTGGCAATGCTCAGGGGTTACTCCTGGATCTGTATTCAGGAATTACTCCTATCAGTGCTCAGGGGATGATATGGGGTGCTGGGGATCGAACCTGGGTTGGCTGCATGCAACGCAAACACCCTACTAGTGTTTTGGCCCTAGATTCTGTTTTTAAATCTGAAAAACGTTTCACAGGTCTGACAGGGAGATCGCGTGGCAGAACGTGGCCGAGGGGAGCCCTTATACGGCAAGAGCATAGAGGCAGGCGAGAACAGGAACATGCCCAGTCCTCACCGGCTATCTCTACTTGGTGCCTTCAAAGTGCCTCTGTGTTCAACATGGCTACCCATGACCAAACTCCCACTGTGGTACACTCTCTTCCACCAAAGCTGGCTTCTCCTCCTGTCTCAGATAATGGTATCTTTGACCCGCAATCCCTTCCCAGATCTGTCTACTCCTTTGTCCCCTGCCACTCAGACCAGGTGCTGCACCAGGTCACCTCCCAGGGATTCTCAGGGTGCTCACGTGCTGCTCCAACCTAGCCAACGAGACGAACATCCCTCTCTGGATTTCTGTAATAGCCTCTGACGGGTGCTACACTCATGTTGTCTCTGAGAATTCATTGGCCACTTTTCAGATCCCAAATCTGATCACCATCTCCTTTTGCTCACTTAAAAAGCCTTCCCTAAGTCTTCTCTTAGCTTATGGGAGAAGACCTGATCCTGAACGGCCCCCTGAGGGTCAGCCCGCTTTCCTAGGCCTCCCTGCCATGGCCTCCACACCACCTTCGCACTGACCAGTAGACTAGACTCTAAGTTTGCCGAGACTAGACTCTAAGTTTGCCAAAACCAGACTCGAAGTTTGCCGAGGGCAGCAACCATGTCTATTTCTGCCCATGAGTAACTGGGCTTCACTTTTCATGGTGTTGGTGAACAGGGAAGAGGTGAACTTCACTAAGCAGAGGCCCTGCTTAAGACACTCCATCTAGGCCAGAGCAATAGCACAGGGGGTAGGGCGCTTGCCTTGCACATGGCTGACCAAGTTCAAGCCCCAGCTCCCCAGATGTCTCCTGAGCCAGTCAGGAGTGATCCCTAGGTATAGTGCCAGGAGTAAGGTCTGAGTACCACTGGGTGTGGTCCAACAACCCCATCCACACATACAAAAAGCCCAAACAAAACAAAGACAATGAATCTGCACTTAATATATCCTTTGGTTTGCATTTTTCCACTTATAATGCAATTTAAGAATTATGATTTTTAAGCCTCTTCTCTTTCTTGTAGAAATATATTTTCCTACAAGAAACATATTTCTGAACTAGATTCATGTCATTACCAGAAAGAAAGTTGGAAGGTGCTGTTGGGTTAACACTACTTCTTTCTCATACCTTCAGGTTGCTTTTGGGAAACCATCTCTGCAAGTCAACATGATACTATTCAAGTTTGACCTTCATTACTTGCAATTCTTTATTTCTCTGGATCTCCTTTAAAGAATAAAGTCAAGACAAGGCCCATGGAGATTGCAGGAAAAGTTTGCTTAAAGTGCTATCCAAAGGCAACTAGTTTGGCTACTAGTGTGAGAGAGAGAGAGAAAAAATCACTTCTTAACAGAGCAATAGGGAAGAGTCATAAGTTTTAAGCCACAGGATACAGATACTATACTCATCAAATGTGCCTACAGTCTGATCTAACTGTGATTGCTCCCTGAGCCCAGAGACAAATTTAAGCCCTGAACACAGTGGGATGTGGCCCCCCCACCAAAAAAAAGTCTTGCTGGTAGGGGGAAGAGATTAGACAAAATGCAAAATGTTCACATCTACCTTGTGGACCAATGTGTCCAGTGTCCAGAGAGGGGGAAGAATGGACAAGGCTCCTGACATGAGTATGTACGGGCACATGCTCCTCTCTGTCCTGCCCACTCATGCTGAGGACGGCTCAGATGCAGAAGGCACTGCTGTTTCAGTGTGTGATGTCACAGAGGTCAGGGCACTGAAAAATGGCTTTTCCTAAGTAAGAATGCTTGAGTGAGTATCTCTGTGCATGTTGTCAGAGTGCTGGTGGTTATGAACACTGTGCTGGAGAACTCCGCCCCCACCGCCCCCACATACACACACATCTACTGAGGAGGCCCTGTTGGGAATAGCACCTGACTACATCATCTGGCTTCTGTCCCTGCACCACAGATGAGATGAGAGGAAGATCCCAGGTCCACTAAAAAGGCAGTCTGTAGGGCCAGTTCTTCTGTGCAGGAAACTAAGAGAAGATTAAGAATTGCCTCTTTTGCAAATCACAACACCCAATAAGAGAGAGAGAACAAAAGGGAATGCCCTGCCACAGAGGCAGGGGGGGATGGGGGGGATGGGGGTGGGAGGGATACTGGGATCCGTGGTGGTGGGAAATGGGCACTGGTGGAGGGATAGGTATTTGATTACTGTATAATTGAAACCCAAGCACAAAAATTGTAAGTCTACAAACTGTACCTCATGATGGCTCACTAATAAAAAATAAATTAATTAAAAAAAAAGAGTTGGCCTTGAAAATCTGGCAAGCATATCAGTCAGGCAAAAGAGTGAGGCAAAAGAATTTCAAAAAAATGGGGCTGGAGTGATGCCATGTGTAGGGCACTGGCTTTGCATGCGGCTGACCTGAGTTCGATCCCTGGCACCCCGTAAGCATTGCCAGGAGTAATTTCTGATCACAGAACTAGGAGTAAGGCATGAGCACTGCCGGGTACAACAAACAAAAAGAATTTCCAAAAAGGCTGAACAGGAGCCAGGGTACACAGAACCCGGCACGAGAACAAGGCTCCATGAGGGCTAGCAGGAATCATTGAAGTGGAGGTTGGGGTACTGGGTGATTCCCGGCCCACTGTGAGAAGATGTGATGTTTGTTCTAGTCAAGAAATTTTATGTACAATATTTATTTTCATATATATAAATTTTTTAAAAATCCAAACAAACCACCCAAATCACTGTGACTCTGTGGACCGACAGGTTGAGTCAGGCTCTGACATTCACAATGTTGGGGACAATGAGGAAGGGCTCGCTGTGGGAAGTGTGAGCTGGGATCAAAGTGTTTTCGTAAGCCCGGAATAACTAATTTAGGAGAAGGCACTGGTCTTTAGACTTTGACTTATGTGATTTTTCAGTGATTTCTAGCTAAATAGTAGTAAAATGTCTTAAACAGATTCTGCATTTGTAATTTTCTCAAAAATAGACATTTCCGAAATATTAAGGACAGAACCAAAAAACAATAAACAAAAAACCCACTTCTGACTGTACGAAAACGAATAATCCTGCGAGTGTGCCAACAAACTTCTGTGTACTGACTGATTTTGGTTTTCTTTGGGGCCAGACCTGGAAGGTGCTCGAAGGGCCTTGGCCGATAGTGCTTGGGTAGCAGGAACTGAACCACTGAAGGTGGACCGAGCTCAGGTTCCCATCTGGCAAGGCCCGGGCGCCCCCTGGCGGCCGGTCGGGGTCCGCACCACACCCTGTCCGCCCCCGCGCCCGCCGCGCCGGTCCTACGGGGGACACGCGGGCATTCTGGAGCTTACTAGGCCAGGCTCCAGGCAAGTTGGGGTGCAGGCCGGCCGGGCGCTTCTGTGCAGGCCTCCCCAGGCTCCGCAGGGAGCGCTTCCCCCGATCCAAGCCGGAGTTCCCTGTCGTGATCTTCCATTCTGGGAGAAAAGGGTCCCGGGCAGGAGCCGCCGCCCCCCGTGCGCCCATGGCCGGCGCCCCCTGCCGGCTGCTCCCCGCGCTGCAGGCGGCGGGAAGGCCACCCACGAAGGCGCTGCTAGGGGCAAGGCGGGCTGGCTGACTTCTGCTACCTTACCCCCCAATCCCCGCAATTCTTTTATTTTTATTTTTTTTGGAAAAATGTTATTTTGTTCGGTCCAACCAGTAAACTAAAGTTTTAAAATATACTCTCGTTGAATCAATAGATCCGGGAGCATGAAAAAAAATAATAAAAAAACAAACCGGCTTCCTGGGGAAGGAAGGTAAAGCAAGAGACGTTTGCAAAGGAGAGGAAGCTCTGGCATGCACCCTGAACAAAAGGGAACAAGTGGTCTTTACTCGGAGAACGGCGCCCCATTAGGACTCACTCCTTCGTGCATTATGCCTTTCATCCCCACTCAACCACAAAATGATTTTGCTGAAGCAAATACAATGGTAGAAAAAGATTTACACTGAAAGAATCTTTAATAATAAACTGTTGCCGATCTGCCTACTTGCCCGTGATTTATAATACAATAAACATCAGATTCTATTACGGCTCATGCACTGAAGCGCTGCTCTGAGAAACGGAATATGAAAGCGCCCGAACCCCACCACCATCACAATGAAATGAGCATGTATAAATGTGCTAAGAGTATCTCTTTGCATCTTTTATAGCTTATGTGTATTAATCTGTAACGCTTATTAAGAAAGTCATTGCTATGCAAAGCAGCACCCAATCCCTTTCTCGGGCTTTTCAACAGAGTGCACTGTTTAGCCAATAGGACGGACCCTCTGGCCCTCATTCTGCATTCATCACAGGCAACATTTGCACAATGTATCTCTCAAAGGCGGCTGAAAAGAAGGCCTTAATACTCATGTAAACAACTGCAAACCAATTACTTAATGAATCAGACCCACACATAATGAGGTGCAGACAAAGAGCTATAAATGCATTTTTGTGCCCAAGCCACTGCTTTAAAGTAAAATCCCTCAGCTGTAGTTTGGGCTTAACTAGCACATCACAATTATTGTCTCTAGGACATCAGAGGAAGCCATTTTTTTTTTTTAAGGTCCAGCGGGTCTTTTTTTCCCCCCTTCTTTTTTTTGAGGTTGCTCATCAGCTCACTGACAAACTAGAGTAAAGAAGAATTTTTAAAAGTGCTACAGCAGCACTGCACTGTTATGTTTACTCTCAAGTACTGGGTTTTGAGACCACTTGTAAAAGCAATAAAGCACGAGGAGTGACTGCAGTAAGTGGGATCCTTAAATGTAAGCTTCTAAGAAATTTCAGTGAATCCAGGCACAAACGGCAAAAGCAGAGCTCTTCAAACCCAGGGTGGTGTATTCACAACACCAAGCCCACACAAGAACCAAACCGTGCCAGCCAGCAGAACCTTACACGCTCAAAGCCCAGACCTTTGCATCACTAGATTATTATCAAGTGTCTGGAACCAAGGGCTCCTTAAGACCTGTTTATATATTTTTTCCTTTTTAAAGGGTGATGATGAGATTACTTGTGAATTTTTTTGGTCATTAATTTCATGCAGAAACATCAGTATTAACAAAAGACTCACCTCAAAGGGGAAAACTTTTTAATTTTCAGTTTAGTGAAACAGAGATGAAATGACATTATCACGCTGAGAAAATGTATTTATATATAGATATATAGGCGGTAGGTGAAAAAAACATGGAATGTAAAGAAAAGCTGCAGAAGAATTACTGGAGGGGGGTTGGGGGCATGAGAGAAGTGAATGCCCCAGCTGTGCTGAGAACTTACTCCTGGCTGTGCTCAGGGATCACTTCTGGTAGGACCTAGAATACTGTATGTGGTACCAGGGGTGGCCCAGGTCAGAACACGAAAAGCAAGCTCTCACATGCTGTACTGTCTGTCTCCACCACCTCCCCCAACCCCAATTTTTTTAAATGTCCCTGAAATATTGGAAAGAACTCTTGCATGTCTAAAAACTAAAGGGGAAACATCATTAAGAGCAGCAGTTAACCTTAGTCCCTGAAAACTACCTGTAAGAAATAATGTATTTTTGTTGTTTGGGGGTCGTATCAGGGTTCCTCCTAGCTCTGTGTTCAGGGGACCACACCTGGCGGGTCTGAGGGGACCGTATGGGGAATCAGATCCTGGCTGGATGTACACACGGCAAACACTTACTTGAAGAACTATAGTTGTGGCCCCTTGACTTATTGTCTTTGAAAATTTCTTCTTAGAAGACCCAAAACTTCAATTTATAGTTAATTATAAAAATTTGGAGACTGGAGTGACAGTACAGGGAGTGCTCTGCACTTGGCTGACCCAGTTTTGCTGCCCGTATCGTGAGCACTGCCAGGAGTAATTCTTGAATGTAGAATCAAGCCTTGAGCACAGTTGGGTGTGGCTCGAATACAAACACACCCTCCAAAAAATAATACTGTTATATTCCACCTATCCCATATTCATTATCTCCCACTTCTTCAAAAACATACAAGAAAATTAATGAAATTAATTTCAGACAATTAAATGAGTATTTCCTAAAATGGAACTTGTCAGATTTCTAAAAATTTCATTTTATAAATTCTCATTTTAATATAGTATATTCAAAGCTCTGAAATATAGTGTTTTTAAAACAAATTATAATGTGATTTTTCTTACTGAAAAATACTATGTTTCTAGAACAGATCTTGATTTTTTTATAGGACATTATATGTTTTGAAATTTTATCTGGGATAAGCAATGAATCCAAATATAATGCAATTAAAAAGTACATCTTTTAATGAGAAATGTTATTTAAAAAAAAGAAATAACTTATTATGCTGTTTTCAAAGATCCTGATCTTTCAAAGGTCCCGATCAAATGGTCTTTCACCAGATGATTACTTTTGTTTTCATTTATAATTTTTTTCTAAGTGATTTGATGGCAATTCATGATTAATATTTCATATAGATGACAATCCAGCATAAAACTCACTTCACATTCCCTGGAAAAACTTACAAGAAGTGCTACATTTTTAGAAATGTAAAAAGACAAGTCGTGTTCTTTATGGAAAATAAGTGAGAAAGCCTAAGATAAAAATAATCTAGCCCAAATAAATTGATTAAAGAGAAAAAAAGGAAATCAAAAGCAATTGCTTTTATATATGTATATACCCACATACACATATACATAGACACTAGCAATCTTTCTGTATGTGTGTATGTGTATCAGTCATTTCGGAAAGAAGGGACAGGCCACTTTCTCTCTCTGAGGCCTGCCATTCTGCGTTCTGCGCTGCCCTTTCCTGACACTTTTATTGTGTAGTCTCCAAGCGGCCCTACTGAGAGCAGCTGTAGACGCTAATTTGTGGTTCACTGAGGTGTCAATTGAGTCTTAAACCAAGGAAACAACAGCTGCAAAACAATACTTGGCTCTGGTGCAAATATTTTCAAAGACAGACTAAAGTTTTGACTGTTATTTTGGATAAACAAAAACCCAGACCATAACCTTCCATCAAGTCACACAACAAAATCATCTGCAGTTGAATTCAGTGCGCAGTGACATTTCTCATCTTGTCCTCGCAATGCAGAAAGGCTTTCAGACTTTACCTTGACAAAGGACTTCCTTCGCTAGATGAAAAACTAGCTTCCGAAGCATTTTTTTTAGTTGTCTTTGTCTTGTCTGTGCTGCTGCCAACATTCAAACCTGTGATAAGCACAAACACCAAGAGTGCGCATTAGCGGCCGTGCAGCCACACATTCACTGAGAGGAAGCTGCCTCCCAGGAACTGTGTAAAACAACATCCACAGAGGAAGGAGCAGTTCTAGCTGCTGAAGGCAAGGGAGCCGCTGAGGGAAGGCCCAACATGAAGGCAGAACACCAGAAAGAAGTGGAAGGTGGGGAGGGCAGACTCCCAGTGTACTAAAGTAGAAGCCACCACACTAAAGAATGAATTGTCAGAAGAGATCTATTTTAAATAACCGAGAGGCATTTGTGAGGCCTGGTCTCTTCCCAGGCACCAAGCACGGGCTGATTCTCTTTATTACAGTAGATGGGCAGAAGTGGCTCACCAGATAAGGGAGAGTGGAAACCAGGTCTAGAAATGACTGTAGGCCTTTGGTAATAGTGACGAACACACTGTTTTGGGGAAGAGACACAAGCCACTTCTTTGCTGGAACCAGAGACCAGGTCTGTCCCCACTGTCCACCTCCCCCCCCCCCCCCCGCCCCGTTTCATGCTCTGCAGTTTGCAGGGCACCCTGATCTCTGCCATCCAGCAACCTCAAATATTTTGATACAAGCCTAATTCTTTCCTGTTTGTTTGAGTACCAAGTGGTGCTCAGAGACTACTCCTGACTCAGTGCTCAGAGTGGCTCCCTGTTATGCCCAGGAGATCAGAGGTAACAGGGGTGGAATGGGTGGAACTCAGCTGACACATGCTGAGCGGTGCTCAGTCCCCTGAGCTGTGTCCAGCTGGCAAGTATGACTCTCCACTGGCAGTGACTGGAGACACGGATTCCGTGCTGAGTTTCTAAGTCTAGCACATCATCTGTGCAGTAAAGCAATAACTGTGTGGCTGTGATCAATCCAAAGAGGGTGTCCACGGCTCCAGGAAGAGGTCTCCAGACAGAAAAACAAAGGCACAAGATGTCAGCAGCTGTCTTACGCAGGTATGATGCAGAGAGGGACAGCCCGTGCTGCCGCTTCAGGGGTAGGATTGCAGGCCATTCCCTGCTCCACATTTCACACCGGGTAACAAGGCCATTGAGTATAGCCTGGGGACACAGCTATTTCTCTGCCCTCCCAGCCAGTTTTCTGGATTTCCTCTGGAATTTGGAGAAGTTCCTGGGTTGAGGGCTAGACACTGTGACAGTCAACACCATCAGACCTCGCCCAGGCTGGAAGATGCCGCAAGGCACACAGCAGCATTATAAATGTGGAAGGAAGGAAGTCTAAGGGTGTTTGGCTACACACATGAACCACTAGCATATTAACAGAACCACAATTATGTAACAAATACAAAGCACTAAAACTTATGCATATCAAACTTACTCATTCTTAGAATCTGTCTGATTACCTATGGGGTAGGGAGCAAAGAAGTCTTTTCCACACTTGTTCACATAGGACTGAAAAAAACACAGATTTATTTTAGCTGACACGAGTTGATGTGACAGCTTATTACACAGCAAACTTCAGAAGTATCAGAAAATGACCACCTTTTCTTGCACACAATGCCTGCTACCACCCAGGCACCCTAGATGCTGCCTCTGTGTGCCAACTCAGCCCATGCTGACCTGGTAGCTGGGACGCAGAAGCACCGTCCTCTTGCAGTCTATCTTCAATTCTCTTTCTGTTCTCCTGAAGAGTAGATTGCTTCAGCAACTGGTAGGCTTTTGTCTCTAAAGATTTTTTTAAAAAAGCACAGATAACTGGTTAGCCACACAAAAAATTAAAGTTGGGTCCTTACCTTAAACCACGTAAGAATTCACTCAAGTCAGATTAAAGATTTAAAATGTGAGACCAGAATAAAATGAAAAATAAAAAACAAAATGTAAGAAAGCACAGGAGAAAAGCCTCAGGGCAGTGAGTTTGGCAATGACTGCTTACTTACAAAACCAGAGGCACAATCAACAACAAAAGAAGACAAAAGGAACTATAAAAACCTATAATTTCTGCATACAGGGCAGGAAAAATAGTATGGGATTAAAGTGCTTCCCTTGAACAGGGATGACCATGGTTTCATCCCTGGAATTACATATGGTACCTGTCCTCCCTTACCCCAACTAGAACCCCCAGGAGTGTGCACAGCTGGGTGTGGACATGTCCTCCTCTTCACCAAATGCAACCAACCAACCAACCGACCAACCAACCAACCAACCAACCAACCAACCAACCAACCACGTTTGCATGTCAAAGTGACCACTAAGGGCCAAGGACATGGTAGCAGAGAAGGTGCCAGCCCTACCTCCACACACTCTCCTGCTGCATGCCACCCGATACGGCTTCAACAGCACAACAATGGTAAGGAAGACGATGGGGCTACCAAGACAGTAGAGCAGGTAGGGCGCTTGCCTTCCAGGCACTCCATATGGTTCCCTGAACCCGGCAGAAGTGCTCCCTGAGCAGAGTACCAGGAATGGGCCCCAAGCACTACTGGGTATAGCCAAAAAAATAAAATAAAATAAAAAAATAATAAAAAAAAGACTTTAATTTTAATTTTTTTTAGGGGAGTGGTTCCCGGCTGTGCGCACCAGGTCCAGGGGCCCCACCTGCCATTCTCAGCCAATCAAGCTGTCTTTAGCACCAGAGCCTGGTGATGCAATAGTGTTTTTTTTGGGGGGGTGGAGGGGGTGGGGAAATTACACCTGGCAGTGCTCAGGGCTTAATCTGGCTCTGCATTCAGGAATCACTCCTAATGGTTCACAAGACCATATGGGGTGCCCAGAAGAGAGAGAGGAGAGAGGAGAGATTAAGTATTAGCAAGGATATGGGTAAATTAGAATCCTGGTTCACTACTGAGAATATAAAATGATGCAGCCATTATAAAAAAATACAGGGACCTTTCTCTATACTTATGATACCATACCGAACTAATAATAGGATTAATATATGATCCAAATCCTGTATATAATTTCAAAAAAATCGTTTTACTGATTGTGACTCTGTGGTTTACACTACTGTTTAATAATGGTTTCTCAAGCACGGAAGTCCAACAGAATTCTGGATATATTTGAAAAAAAGAAAGGCATACTTGTTTTCATCACAGCATTTTTCATAAGAGCCAAGAATAAAAGCAGCCAAGATTATTTGTCAATAGTTTAATCAGTAAAGAAAAAGGTGGCATATGCACACAATGAAATTATTGGCCTTGGGGCCAGGGATGTGGCTCATTGGTGAAGCATGTACCTCACAAGTATGAGGTCCTGGGTTTGACCCCTGGCATCATTAGGGAAGGAAAAAAAATGTACTCTTAAAAAAGAAGGAAATCCTGGCATACTTACAGCATGAACTCTGAGGACATTGTGCTAGAGAAATAAACTACAAACTACAAATAGGGTAGGATCAAAAATAGTCATTATGAAAACAGAAAGTTGGAAAGGCGATGATCAAGGGCTGGGAAGAAGGAAGAAATAATATTGTAGAGCTGTTATAGTGTCTCAGTACTACAAGCTGAAAAAGCTCTATAGACCTACTACAAAACAAATAAATACATGTGCCACTATGGAAATGTATGCTTGACACTCTGGACAAGAACTCATTGCTGAAAAAAACGTAAAGTGACATGCATGATACGCTTTCACTAACAGTATTGCAAAACACCGTGCCTAAAAGGAAATCGGGGTCGGGGGGAGTGGAAGAGCAGTGTCTGCCATAGAGGCAGGGGTGAGGGTAGGGAAAGGGGAGGGAAACTGGGGGCACTGGTAGAGGGGAAACATATACTGGTAAAGGATGGGTGTTTGAACATCATATGACTGAAACTCAATCAAGAACAACTTTGTAACTGTGGATCTCAGTGATTCAACAGAAAAAGAATCTTTAAAAAAGAAGTTGATAATGAATTTAATGTATTTTTTTAACCAAAACTTAAAAAAAAAGTCTCCAGGCATCCCAATTTGTCTATTACAATTCAGATTTATGCCTGCTGCCCCAGAATAATTGTTAATAGAATCTTCTTTTAATAATAAAAAATTTCCTAAATTAGACAATGAAGTGTATGGTTGTACTAGAAAGAAAAATGAACCAAATGTAATGTATTGCAATGGCATAGTCTGGCAACTGATACCAAAGAAATGAACTGTAAGACGCAGCAGTGAGTTCCCCAAGCAGCAGCTTGCCGCTGGAGATCTCTCCGGACCCTCTGCCAGGTCAATTCCACCAGGACTCTCAGAGGGAGCGGGTGGTCCCAGCTCTGCCCACTCCAGATGAACCCCTACTGGCCACAAACTTTCAGAAGAAAAACCCACGTCCACAGAACAGGGTCTGAAGATGCCAGGTCACATGACGGCAGAGAGGGTTCGCCCCTACAAACCTACCCACCCCTTCAGGGTCCTGACTGTCACTCCCACGAACTGCCTCCAGGCCATATTTAAGTGCATTCAAGCAGAGTTTCTTGATCCAGAAACTCACAAATGAATCTCAAGATAGATTACTTCCTACAGAGATGTCTCCAGAGGGAGCCCAATCATTTACAGATTTAGAATTCCAGGAGTGCACAGCCTCTCATGATATTCATAATAAGCAATAGAAAATAAATTATCTAGAATCTGCTGTGGCAGGCAGGCATGAACGGTGGTGGGAAAATTTGATGTAATGGTGGTGGGACTGGTGTTGAAATATTGAATGTAGAGAGACACACACACAAATTTTGGAACCGAGCAGCCTGCTGCAGAGATGCCTCCAGACTCTGCAACAGGCAACTTTCACCCAGCCACTCCAGACAGAAGTAGGTGCCATACTTCCATCTGCTCCCTAGGAATCCCGGTGGCCGCCATCTTCCAGAACCCCAAAAAAGTCCAGGTACATGGGAGCAGAAGCAGCAAACGCCAGGCCTCACGGGACAGGGGAGGAGCCAGTCCTTCTCTTTCCCCTGGCCCCATGGGACTCTGAGGTGAGGCCCACAAATGCCCCCCCCCCCCCCCACTACTTATTAAGCTCCTACACGGTCATGATTCAGAGACACACACAGAAATCTTGGAACCGAGCAGCTCACTGTAAAGATCTCTCCAGACCCTAATTATTAAAATTTTAGAATTCCTAGAGTCAGCAGCGACATTATATGCTCTCCATAACAAGCAATACAAAACAAATTGTCTAGCATTGCCTTTTCGGCAGGTTTGAGTGGTGGTGGGACTGGTGTCAAAACATTAAATGTAATCATAGTAGAGAGAGAGAGTACTGTGGAAAATGTCTGCCACACAGGCAGGGGAAGGGCTGGAATGCGGGTGGGGAGATACTGGGGATTTTGGTGGTGGAAAATGTGCACTGATGAAGGGATGGGTGATTAATCATTGCATGGCTGAAACTCAAATATGAGTTTATAACTGTATCTCATGGTGAATCAATAAAAGGTGAAAAAGATTGTATGTAATCAATTAACGTGAACAACCTTATGAAAATAAAATTTAAAAATAAAAAAAGAAATGAACTGTAAAAATATTGAACACTGACTGAATATTTGATAATACTGAGATAACTTTAGGGATTAAAAAAATTGATAGAAATAATGAATTTTCTACTCCCTAGGGAGAAAAGTCTCTTAAATTCTTTCTAGGATATTAACATTTTCCACATAGATGCAAATTGTTTTCATAAATTCTAGAAATACACCCAATGGAAGGTAAGTTTTGAATAAAATATTTAAAGAGTCAAAGACAAGTTGGGTGTTTTAACTGAGGTGGCTAAATTCCAGTCATTATTCTGAGGGACAGCAGATCAGGACAACACCTTGGACAGCTTGTTCTCTCCATTCCAGAGACAGGGCTGACTCCTTGGTGGGTCCAGAGCACTTTGCCCTGGCTGAGTATAGGAGAGCAGGGTGGGTGAGTGGTGGGTGGGTCAGAAAGGATCAGAAGCAGCAGCAGGAAGACCTCTGACACCTGAGTTCTGGGACTCAGGACCACAGCTGAGGAACTCCTGGCTTTTGGGGACGAAGAGAACATTTATTTGCAAGAAGCAAAGACAAGTGCCCCAGAAGACTGGCCTGGACCTGACTGGAATCAGAGTAAGGCCTGCGCTTCCAGGTTCCTAACTGTCTTCCCTAAGTTAAAGTCATGGAGTTTGTTGGGAAAAACAAGAAATAAAGGTCATATAATATGTCCACGTGTCACAACCTTTCCCATTAACTCAAGCCTAGAAGGTACCGGATTAATAGCTACAAAATTTGAGTGTTAGCAATCACATCAAAGAAGAATTCAGGACTACAACTTCTACATGGCCACAACTAGGATTCTCGCCATCAGCACCAGGGCAGGCAAAGATGGGCTTCCTGGCTTAACTGAAAAACTTAACCAAAACTTTTATTACTGGAATGAAATTATCATCATATAGAAACGGTTATTTATCTTCTCCATATGGAGAAGTAATTAAAGTTAAAAAAAATATTTAAAATGAACATCAGGGCCAGAGAGAGCCCAGCAGGCTCAGTGAATGCTTTGCATGCAGGAGGTACGGCTTTGTTCCCAGCATGCTATGGTGCCCTGAGCACTAGCAGGAGAGCACTTATGAACACAAGGCTGGGGGTAGCCCCCAGCACCATCAGGTGTGGGACAAAAGCCAAAATTAAAGATGATTTTTTAAATGATCTTTATGGAGCTCAGAAGATAGCTTCCAGCACTTGTTTTATGCACAAGGCCTCTAGTTCAAACACAGATGGCAGGGCTGGAGTGCTAGCACAATGGGT